TACCAAAAGCACAATCAATATGTGAACCGCGCTGACAACGTTACTGCGAACGGCATCTCACACTATTTTTTAATTGACTTAAAAAAAAAGGAGGTTATACGTTCCGCTGTATGTATGTTTTCAGATTTCTCCGTCAATAGTAGACCGATTATGAAAATTCTTTTTTTTTTGTTTGAAAGGGTGCAATCTCGCGTAGATATAAGCGCTGATAATATACCAACCGGCGACGGCGCGCCGACGTAAAAGTGTCGGTGGCGGCGGCGTTTCGACGCACAGTGGGGCAGGATACCTTAAAAGCTGGTATTAATTCAAAAATCCAAACGCCATAATTACCATCGTTATATTGGCAGTTATGTTACCAACATACCCACCCGTCAGGTACCGTAAGTCACGTGGCCGAACACATCCCCCGTCTCTCTCCCCTCAGTCGCAAAAAAGCATCGCGGAGAGAGTACGACTGTCGCACGTTAATTCGATATTTTTTTCTAATCTTAAAAATATTGTGACTGGTTGAAATATTTCCAAATTGTACTTTTTTTATATGGAGACGACAGCTGCAGGTACGTGCTATATTTTTATAATTATTATATAATAAAATTGAGTACATACGATGAATCATAATTCTAAGAAATGAACATTGTAATCTTTCGTGAAATTTTTGCATTCTCAGAAACGTGTGAAATTTTAGATATGTATCCAGGCATATCAAGTACTTTTGTTTGTATGATAAAATAGTTTTATTATTGGGCAACTTTAGCACGTGGGATTTTTTTGCGATATTTTGCGATTTCGGCAAAAAATAGGGTTTTTAATATTTACCTAATAAAATAATGTTTTCTTATTTATATGAATTTTAATAACTTACTCTTGGTTCCAGGACCTAGTTGTAGCACTGTATCATTATCAAGAAAAAACTATACGACATCTTAATAAGTTCTGGTGAGATTAAAATTGAAAAACAATTCCATTTCCTAGTAAATTATCTTCAAGAGCGAACAGCCTGTTCCGAATCAGATTTGGCGAATTTAAAGAGAAAAATATGTCATTTCAAATCTCAATTTAAAACAAGATGGTTCAATGTAGGAAGATCGAAGAAGAGGTTTTTCGAGAAATATAATGATTGGCTTGCTGGTGATTGCTGGTGAAGGTGATTGTTTTTACCCAGTACAAGCCGTCTAATTTAAGGAAGAGTGGACGTCCAACGATTTCATTTGAGGAGAGCACCGAACGAACTAAACGCAAAAAAACGGAAGACTTACGGAAGTCTAGATATATTGCGGAATTAAATTTTGCCACACAAATGAGTCTGAGAGCATCAGGAAATAAGGATGCTTCAAAATTGGTTAAGGAAATCACTACAACCTCTCCGAAACGGGCAAGCAAATATAGAAAACCTACAAAAAATAATTTGAGAAAAAGTCTTGCATGATGTATGGTGAAGATGCTCTAGCTTTACTGATAGACGCTAAGACGAAGACGAAGAATCTGATCATGATTAAAATATGTATTAATTTACGATAACATTTTTGTAATATTATCATGATTAAAAATTTAAACAATGCTTTATGTGTTTTATTTATGTATATGTTACTATATAAACCATATTTATGATTTTTAACGCATGATTCAAAGCAATTAATAATTAATACCAAGTTTTAATGTATCCTGCCCCACTGTGCGACGGCGCGAGCGCGACTCTAAAACGAATTTGTACAACGGTGTTTGTTTTTACAAAAACCGTTATACAAATACTTTTTAAAAGGAAAAAATAAAATAAGTTATTTTCTATAGCAATAACATTTTTATCAGTTCGATCAGGCGCTCAGATCGTACGCACGCATCTTAAATATTATGTATGCATAGTGAAAATGGCGATGCCAGAAATTGACAAATTATTTTTTTAAACAAAATATCTTTATATATAAAGTCACTAACTAACTTTTGTCGCCCATCTATGCCACCTCTGCTGAGGCCGGACAAGGCAAATCTTTTTGCCTCACTCTTCGCAAAGAGTTCGCGTCTGGATCTCGTCTTACATCAGGCTGGCTGCACTATGGCACCAATTCAAAAAAAGAGGTACTTAGAATTCTGCGGAATCTACACGTGAATAAAGCTAGCGGGCCAGATGGAATTCCAGCACTAGGCCTACGTAACTGTGCGCCTGAGTTGTTTCTTGTTCTGAAGCAGAGCCGACTCTGTCAACTATAGACCTATCTCAGTCAATTCCACAGTACGGATTCCGACGAGGGTGATCTACTGGGGATCTTCTTATGTATGCCTGCCACATATGGAGCGAGGCTATAAGTAAAGCAAGGTGAAGCACTTGCAGCGTCTGGATATTTCTATAGCCTTTGACAGGTTCTGGCACGCAAGCCTTTTACGTAGGCTTCCCTCTTATGGGCTTCCCACTGACCCTTGCAATTGGATCTCGGATTTCTTGAGCGAACGTTCGATGCGATTCTTCCGAGCATATGGCGATAGATATCCTCAGGGTTCCGTACTGTCTGCAACTCTCTTTCTGCTGCATATCAATGATATGTTAATTCCAGGTACCTTTGCATATGCTAATGACAACACAGTTGTAGATAGGTACTTGACCAATGCAAGGGTCAGTGGAGAGGAAATCCGGTTGGTTAGCCGTTTGGATTTGACACTCAAGGCAGTAACGCTACCAAAACGCAGGCGTGTCTACTCTCCACAAAACGGAGTCCCTTTGAGCTGACTCCGACTTTTCGTGATATATCCATACCGATAGCCGACTGTCTCCAGCTACTTGGAATAGACCTGTCATCCAATTTGTACTTGGGCAGATACATTGAATCCATGGCCAAACATGCAGCAAGGAAGCTTGGGATCCTTTCCAGGATGAGGCGTTACTTCACACCGGGACAGTTGCTTCAGCTGTACCAAGCACAAGTCTGGTCGTGCATGGAGTACTGCTGCCACCTTTAGGATGGCTCTGCTACATACCAACTGGCTACCTTATATTCAATTGACAACCGTGCCAAGAAGCTTATAAGTGACTCGGAGTAAGTGGAGGCGAAGCTGCAGAGCCTTCGACACCGCCGTAAAGTTGCCAGCTTATCGGTATTTTACAGGATATATCACGGAGAGTGTGCGATGGAATTACACGATTTAATTCCGCTTTCCCCTTTCCATCACCGGGGGACTAGGCGTAGACTTGGGTTCCACATCTATGTTGTGGATATTCCAAGTTTCGCACGAAGCGTTACGCTTCCACATTTATATGGCGAACGGTTATGGAGTGGAATTCCCTGCCTGCAGACTTGTTCCCTGAACGTTAGTACTTGGGCCTTTTCAAGGCGAAAGTGAATAATAGAGATTATTTAGGTGTGCATGCTTCATCGCCGACTTCATCGTTACTTTCCATTAGGTGAGATGGAGGTAAAATGCGAACTTACATTTTATATTTTTATAAAATGTAAAAAGCAAGTTCCCAAAAAATAAGGTTTATCTTAGAAAAGTCATTTTCTGGCGTCGCCATTTTTACAATACGGAAGCGTGCGCGTGCATACGATCGGAGCGCCTGATCGAACTGACCGGCGCGCCGATTACATTTGTCAACGGCGGCGGCGCAAGGAAAAACCACCAATCAGAATCTGATGAGGGGATCCATGGAAATTGAGGAAAATCCTCAAATTTTATAGGCATGTCAGTGATTCTGAAAATTCTTTTTTGTTTCAAAGGGTATACTTTCGAGGTGGTCCCTGATGCCGACGATGCTGGTCCGGGTTCGTTTCGACTATTTCAAATTACAAAAATATTTTCCGCAAATAAAAGTCGACTTTCCACTTGACATAATCAAACAAATCATCGTCACCATGATAACCAGAAAAAAGTATAAAATGTACAAAGGAGTCCGTAACAATCCTATTGTCACTAAGAAGTCGGAATCCGATGAGGACGAACCCATGGAAATTAAAAAAAGCCGAAAAGCAAACTTTTGAGGTTGGTTTTTTTCAATGATGTATAGAACAACTGTCGATCTTCGATGCATTCATTAAGATACACTGCCTTGACCTTAATTCGATCGCGCGTGATTGACAGAGCTGTAAATGTTACTGCACCGCGTCGCGCTCAATGTGTCAAGCTCGTTCCGACGTAATACTGATTAACATAACTTAATTTACATCAAATAAAGAACACAAGCGCTTCGGGCCATTGTAATTACCCCAGTGATCAAGTGCCATAAGTGTCGTAGCTCCCTAAACTAAGGGTTCTATCCAGGTATATGTAACACCAAAATACTTATAAAATAATATAACTTAGGCAACATAAACCAACAATCTACTTATAAACTGCCTCTGTGGGTGAAATGAACGGTTACCATGCCGGACTGCCACCCACAACTCCCAGGTTCATTTCCCGAGCCGGAAGAAATATTTGAATGGCCTACATTTATTTCTCTCGTGAGTTTGGTCGTACTTTGTGGTTGTCTATGTGTATGTCCATGGCACCCGCGACACAGGGTTTCACTAGGTCTATGTTGAGTTTTTTTATTATTGTTATTACGTATTATCCAAAATATTTGTAATGATTTAAGGTTGGACGCACACTTTCAGCACGCTTCAGCGCTGCGTTAATACTAATTCAGCATCATTCATCAATTCAGCATCGTTTAGTATGGATGTAGTGTCGATACATGCTACCAAATGGATCCTAGCCTTTAAGTAAGTACAAACAAAACAACTCTTGTCTTCGGGATCTCTGATTAATCTATTTAGTTTAGAGCCATTTAACAATTACTCAAACTAAATCTATTGAGATCGTTCCAGATAATCTTTGAATGTTTTGGTAAGGGGTTTACATATATATTATTTTCTAAACCGACGATTACGACTTACGACTCACTCATACTTCTTTTCTCCATTTGCATCAATTGTTTTTCGTTTCTCGTGTCTGCAGGGTACTTCTACCCTGAACATTTTACTACGGGCAATGTAATAAAGTTAGGTAAAAATTTCATCAACAATACTCACCAATTTGACAAAGACTAGAGACAGGAGCACGGTACCTCGGTGGCACGTTGCTATCAGTTCCCACGCGCAGGAACTGGTACTCCTCATTGGGGTCCGCCACCAGCGACTCCATCTCCAAGAGTCGTTCAATCGACAGTTCCTAAAATTAGATAATCGGTTTAAAATTCCAAAAATTAATACAAAAAACGAATAGTATTGTTCTTAGGACATGAAATTTAAATTTATATGTTAATGCTTTATAAATATTATGACAAAAAGAAAGTTTTTTAAACAACGAAATATGAAGTATGATTTTGCTGTATAACAAGTAATATCTTTCACATCGTGTCGTTTGATATTAAGAAAAAAAATACCACTTATTGTAAAGTAAATTGGTGTTAAACCCTGCTATTTAACTCGGTTGCATGATCGCCGAGCATAAAATCGAGTGGAACACCTTGAAATCACCCGTAATGATACGTGCTACACTGCTACCCCTTTCTATGATTTATGCTCGAGCGCAGACATCAATAATGCGCATAAACGAGGTCGCACTGAAAATAACACGGTGATTTATTCCAACTCATCCATCATTTCGTCCTTGTTTGTAATATTAAATAATATCTCATATATCTGACAAATATCTGGATTGGTTTTATATCTCGTGTTTTATCTCTCTTTGCGGCGGTACACGCCGTAATTAATAACTGCGTATATACTTATGAAACTTAGTTACGCCAGACAATTAAAAAAACTGTTAAGTAGGCATTTATATGATTGATTGCACTTTTTACTTAATATTTACAACCCACTGTATCAGTTTGCGATTAATACGACGAAAGAAAAGATATCTTTCTTAATAACGAAATGTTGAGTGGGATTAGGCCATAGTCCATCCAAGACGTTTGATACCTACAGTGCTTGTTTGCATATTCAATAGCTTTACTTGGACAGAGCTGCTGGGATGGGCGTCTTCCGCGCCCCGCGCGGCTCGCTGCCGCTCTTCTTGCACGGCCTCGCGCTTCATGCCGCATGCCAAGCATTTCTGATAACGGCAGTATTGACATCGGTTCCGCTGTCGCTTATCGATGATGCAGTTCCGCTCTTCGCGACACGCGTACGTCAAATCTTTTCGCACCGTCCGCTTGAAGAAACCCTTACAGCCTTCGCAACTGCAAACAAACGTAACTTTCTTGAAAATAATGAAAGGATGCGTGCAAATCTGGCGAATGTGCGTCTATTTGGGAAAGGCTCGCGAGCTGCGCACGTGCATTCCTTAGTGCGATCTGTTCGCGTGCCGCCACATACGCACCCCTCATGGAAGAATGGCATAAGTGGATGTCGAAAACGTTATGGCTCCATTAGGTACAGAGAAATATAACCCACACCCTCTCCAATTCTTGTAACTCTATCTATGTAGATAGAGTTACAAGAATTGAAGAGGATGTGAGTTATATTTTCATGGTGAGTTATATTTTCATTGTGAGTTATATTTTTATATATTTTCATTTCGATGTAGTAACAAGTATTTAACTGCAAGCATGCAGCACGCGTGCAGCGCGCGCTCAGCGCACATGCAGCGCGTTCGCGGCGCATTCGCCAGATTTGTACGCAACCAAAAAGGAAATCCGTTACAATCGTCGATACACGGCTAAAGATAAAATAAAAAACTTAGGCATACTTTACAATGCTGGGTTTGTAACTCTTTTTAAGTAAATATACATGGCTACGGGACACGGAAGGAGAATATTTTATACAGGGTGACTGGTTGAACGAAATAAATATTTAAAGAGATGAATGAGTAGCTGATACCTTTTTACAATAACAGAAAAAATATCTACAGCAATTGGTTATTCCTTTCCTCAGACGCAGATCAACTACATAGCGCGAGTGCCTACACATAACTCTAAAAGCAAATCCATTGTCATTAGCTTTATTAATCGCTATATTAAAGAGGAATTTGTTGCCGCAGCGCGAGCTAAAAAACGTTTACTGGCTCGGGATATCGGATTTGCAGGAGATGAAAGCCAAGTTTACATTAATGATCACTTAATTCCCGAAACTAAGAAATTACTAACAAGAGTGAAGGAAGTAGCCAAAAAGAAGAATTACTGCTATGTGTGGGTGAAGTATTGCAAGATACATATACGAAAAAATGACACATCGCCTACTCATATAATCTCTAATGAAAGTGATTTAAACAAGATTGTCTAAAATGTGTCCTAGCATGTATTCACAATCATATTTTTAAATTAGGCATCTTTTTAAATAATTTTTCAATGTATTATGACGCGGTAAAGAGTATTTGCCCGTCCATTTTTATTTTTATTTTAATTTTAGAATCCTTGCAACAACATATCACTTGCTTACCTACCTATCGGGCGCACGGCTTTTGTTTGCCGCTCCTGCTAAACTTGAGTAAATTGAATCTGACATCTAGTATATTGCTCGCACGCACCAATTTTACATTATATCACGTTCTCACTTGCACTCACGCACGAACTGCTACCAACCGAACTGTTTGTCACAATGATATTATACATGTAAAAAATGCATTATTTTTTGTAAAGATGAAAGTTTATCTTAATAACTTGACAATTACGTACTTATATAGTCCAAAAGATCAACTTAGCCTATGTTTACTTGTTTGCACAATTATATTTAATCTCCCACTGTATCGCGTTCTCGCCTGCACTCACGCACAAACTGTATACGCTGACTACTTTGATGCTCTAAGCGCTGACATAACTATTTGTTGCGTAGTATTTAATACTATGGTAACGTTATATCATAATAAACTAGTCATTTCGCACATTTATTGTATAGAAACTTCATTAAACATTAGGGGTAAACTTAGATTATTTTTATTCAATAATTTCACTGTATTTAATGTCCAATGGCTAATTCTAAACCTTTAAGTATTTATTATCAGAATGCGCGGGGCCTTCGCACTAAAACATCAACTTTTTTTCGTAATATCTGTCTAAATTCATACGATATTATAGCTATAACTGAATCCTGGCTTCTGGATGGTATTTTGGATACAGAAATTGTGGATGAGCGGTACATAGTTTTTAGGCGAGACCGTGAGTACTCAGTAACCGGCCAATCCCTGGGAGGAGGTGTACTAATCGCGGTTCACCGTGCACTGACTGTCACTCCGCAGCTAACCTTCCATTCGAGTGCTGAGGATGTGTGGGTAACTATTACTTTTAAAAATCAAGGCGCGAGGCCGGTGAAGCTCCACCTATGTGTACTGTATTTGTGTGAACAGCGCTTGGGTTTTTCATTCTCCCAACAATTGTCTTATTTTTGGTCGTCAGTTGGTGACATTATGCTGGGTTCTCCCAATGATAAATATTTAATAGTCGGTGATTTTAACCTTAGTGGAATCGAATGGAATCCCTCGACGGTTGGCGATTATTTTTTTTGACCCTAATAATCTCAGTTCTAATGACGAGATATTGATTGTTGATGAAATTAATTTATTAAATCTTAAACAATATAACGGTATTAAAAACTGGTATGGACGTATTTTGGATCTTGTTTTGAGTAACGATACCGCTGTTGTTCGTGATTGTAGTTCCGAGGCACTTGTACCGATAGACCGCCATCACGGTGCTTTGGTAATTGAAGTTGATTACGCTGATGTAGCTAAGTTGAATAACGCCCCACATAAAAAGTTTTTGTACAACCGAGCTGACTATAAATCTATCAATACTGAAATTCTAAAAATTGACTGGATCCAGGTTTTTTCCTCTAAATCTCTGGACGACTGCGTTGAATATTTTTATAGGACTATGGATGTGCTTCGTGACAATTACATTCCGGTGAAAATAATAACAAGCAAGTCTCATCCAAAATGGTACTCTCCAGCCTTAATAAAAATTCTAAAGGAGAAATCTAAGTACCATCATAAATTTAAAACTTATGGAAATAGATCTGATGAGGAGTCTTTCAAAATGTTACGTAAACGAGCTAGAATCGTAGAAAAAGATTGTTATGCTGCCTATATTAAGTCCGTTGAAAATTCTATTAGCAATAATCCAAAACATTTCTGGTCCTTTATTAAATCAAAGTCGAAATCTAATGCTATACCGTCCAGCATGAATAGCGGTGACCATTTGTTTAATTCAGGGGAAACTATCTGTAATGCTTTCTCCTCATATTTTTATTCTACCTTTCTTACTGCAACAGATAATGGTACTGCTGGGTTGCCGGATCTATATGACTCCTCACTAGTCACTACTTCTTGTGTCTCTGACATATCTAAAATAATATTTAGTCCTGCTGACGTTGAAAAACTGTTAGCGAATTTGGATGCTTCGAAGTCAGCGGGTCCCGATAATATGCCTGGTGCATTTTTGATTGGTTGTGCTAAATCGCTTGGCTTACCTCTCTATCTTCTATTCAAACGCTCAATTGATGAGCATTCAGTACCAATGATCTGGAAGCGTGCTTATATAACTCCTGTACACAAGAGGGGTCCAAAACAGGACATTACTAACTATAGGCCGATCTCTAAGCTTTGTATTGTAGCTAAAGTGTTTGAAAAGATTGTGTACAATCAGCTATACGTAGCTTTGAGTCGATACTTTAGTCCGTCGCAGCATGGTTTCCTTAAAGGTCGTTGCACTGTTTCTAATCTGGCACTACTTATTAACTTTGTAACTGATGCAATGAGTGAGGGATTTCAGGTTGACGTCGTTTACACGGACTACAGCAAGGCCTTCGATCGAATCAGGCATTCTATCCTTTTGCGAAAACTTGCCAATATTGGCATTAGGGGTGATTTACTCAGATGGTTCTCTTCGTACATCCATAACCGGTCACAAGCAGTTGTTATCAACAATTATATCTCCAGCTGGGTAACTGTTCCTAGTGGTGTCCCTCAAGGATCATTACTGGGGCCGCTTCTATTTGTGGTCTTTGTGAATGACGTTGGTCTGTCCCTTCGCTCATCTCAATTGTTGTGTTTCGCGGATGACATGAAAATCTACGCTAAAATAACCAGTGTATCTGATGCGGAAAATTTACAGGCCGATCTTGTTCGCCTTGAAGATTATTGTGTGTGCAGTGAGTTGGACCTGAATACCTCAAAATGTAGTGTCGTCACTTTTAGCCGGAAACGGAACGCCATCCATTTCGATTATGTCCTAAAAGGAAAAACATTGCAAAGGGTATCTACGGTGAGAGATCTTGGTGTTGTTCATGATTCCAAGCTGCTCTTTGACACGCACATTGATACTATAGTCACTAAAGCCACTAGGGCACTGGGATTTGTGATGCGTAGTTCACAAGACTTTAAGGATGCAAAAACACTCAAGATTTTATATTGTGCACTTGTGCGTAGTAGTTTGGAATACGCCTCACAAATCTGGAACCCAAGATACGGCACGTATATTTCGCGTATTGAAAGGGTACAGAAAAAATTTCTACGGTATTTGTGCTACAAAATTAATCAGCCATACCTCTCCTGTAATTATTTGGATATCTGTAAAAGGCACCATATTCTTCCCCTCCAGCTGCGACGTGAAATAGCAGACATTAGCTATCTCCTTAAGATTACTACCAACCTTATTGATTGCCCCGAACTTCTATCTGAGATTTCCATAGTGGTTCCAACAAAGCATCTTCGTACTATCACTACAATTCACTTGCCTGTCGCACTAACTAATTATAAACAAAATTCATTTATTTGGCGTGCAAGCAACTACTTTAACAAAATTTCAACCCTTTTTGATCTTGATCTTTTTAATACTAGCAGTGCGTCCGCAAGGAATATATTGTCGCGTTCGTTTTTTAACATTTAAGTTGTGCAAGTAGCAGTGGTAGCAAGTACTATTAAATATAAATATAAATTTGTTTGTATAACATGTATTTGTATATTATTATGTATTTGTTTGTAGTAGAATGAATTGTGTTTATGTATTTTTTGTACTGAGTTTTTCAATGTGTCAATTTTTATTACTTAAATATTTATCAGTAGGGAACTATTTGCTTTTCTACTATTAATATAATTTCTATTGTAATAGCACTTAAGCTGTTTGTACCCTCTAAGATAAAATAAATAAATACCCATCCCGAATATGTAAAAATAACACGACTATGTAAAAAAAAAATATTAAACATTTTTATTTAAAGAAAATACTGGCTCTAACATTTTGTATTA